CGATTACAGGTCTAGTTATCGATTGCCTAGGGACAAATAACTTTCTTGTGTGACAACAAGCTCTCTACTAAAACTAACTTAGTTGTGTCTTCATCTAAACAGCCCCTGCTTTTTATTTACGCACTCTTTATTATCTTGCAAACCTATCTAACAACACCTACAAAGTACTTCTAGTTTCATACTTGTTCTAGGTAAAGCGAACGTCAAGCATGCGTAGAGTTGTATCGGTGGTCGATAGAACTTGAGGGAATATTTGTTCTACCTCTAGCTCCTCGTTGGGTTCGACACTCTTACTTATCGAAAGAGGCTACAATTGATCCCCTATACTTGTGGGTTATCAAGACCTTTTTCTGGCGCCGTTGTCGGGGAGTTATAGCGTGGGGTGAATATTCTCGTGTGTGCTTGTTTGCTTTATCACTAAGTAGTTTTTATTTTGTGCTCTTGTTTTCTATCTTTAGTTATGGGTAGGAAACGCAAAATACCAAAAAAAATGAGTTGTACCTACTACACCAATGGTTGAAGAACCACTCAAAATCTATCACACTCCTGAAGCTTTTTACTTGGATCATCTTTGATCCCTATGTGCTCGTGCTGAAACCCCAACTAGCTTAGTTGAGGGCAAATCTTTAGATGAACATGCTTCTTATGTGCGACATCGCTTATCTCAAAAAGGGAAATTTTTACTGGATCAAATTCATCGTTTGCAATGCTATGCTTGGAATTTATGTGAAATATATGATGTTGTTGTTCTGAAAACCCTAAGAAACACCTTCCCTACCAATGTGAGTTTAGTGATAATGGAATCGTATCTTCATATGCTAAGGGTGTTTATAATTACTGTGATGTTCAACAAATTGAAGAATTTGTTGCTTTTAAGGGTGCTTATGAAATTGCTTCTTTGATTGAAAAGTATGATGTTACTCTTTACAAATCTGAAAATTTTGCCATACTTAAATAGTGTTATGATAATTATGCCATACTTAAATATTGAAAAGTATGATGCTACTCTTTACAAATCTGAAAATTAGAAAACTTCATTTTTATTATTAGTTTTTTACTTCATTTTTGTTCTTCTTAACTAGTAATACCAAAGCCACTAATTTATTTTTTTCCTTAGAAAACTTGATTATGTTGGTTTTACTTTACTTTATTTTATTTCTTATTTAATGGTAATACCAATGCCATAAATTCATTCCTTCGATCTTAAAAGAAACTCATTGCTTCTTAGGAAACTTTCTATTTTTTATGAACGTTCCACTATTACATGCTTATTATGTATATTATAAAGCACAATTTTGTGTAAACTGTGTGCAAATTTTTCATTATTTGGTTCTAAATTTTAAATTTCTGTATTTTTAAAAGGTAATAAATGCCACTAATTAATTCTTTCTTAGAAGATTATATTATATCATTTTGGTTTTCTTTTATTTTTATTTCATTTGTTTTCTTTTTAAGGGTAACACTAGTGCCACTAATTCAGTCTATCTTGAGAATCTTCTCTTCTGAGAAAGTGTATAAAAATAATTATATTTCTATGTAAATTGTGTATAGTTTTTTCATCATTTGATTTCATTTTTTATATATTTTCTTTCTTTTCCATGGTAATATCAGTGCCACTACTGCATTCCTTCTTACAATTGTGTTTGCAAAAAATCCACTATTTTATGCTTATTCTGGCGTATCATAAAAATGCAGTTTCTATGTATTTTTGGTAATTTTTATCAATATTTGTTTTATTTTTCATTTTATTTCTTATTAAAGGATAATACCAATGACACTCATTCATTCTATAAAAAATAATTCATTGTTTTTATTTTGATTTAATTTTAATTTATTTTCTTCTTTAAGAGTGCTACCAATGCCAGTAATCCATTCTTTTTTAGGAAACTTTTGTTTGTGATAATTCCGCTATTATATGCCTATTCTTGCATATTATAAAAAGGCGTAATATATGTGTAAATTGTGTGAAAAATGTCATTATTTGTTTGATTCTTTTAATCCTTTATTTTTAATGGGAAATACCAATGCACTAATTCATTCTTACTTAGAAACTTCATTATTTTGGTTTTTATAGTTTTTATTTCAGTTTCTTTTTTATTTAAGGGTAATTCCAATGCCACTAATTCTTTCCACTTTCTAAACAAAATAGATAGGAAAAGCAAGTAAAGTAAAACCTGATCTAGAATATGGCTCGAGAGATTGAATATAGGAAGGAATGAATCGGGCATCAAGTAAACTAAGGCATCAAGGAAAGTAAGACTTGAGGATGGAAGGGAGGAAGATGCGTGTATCATCATATCCATCCAACAGTACGTGCCCACGCGTGTCTAGTTGGCTACATGCGTCATCAGCTTGCTACCTTACCAAGGTTTTGGAAGTTAGTCCTCCATACATCAAGGCACAAAAACCTATTGTCCTATTGTTTGACCCTCCCCAAGATATTTTGACACCACTTGACCCCCCTAATCCAAGTTTCCTGGCTCCGCCACTGCAATTACATGTATGATATTGAATCTTGAATGTCCTGTAGGTTTGCGAAGCTTTTAAGTTACACTAGTATGATGCCCGTGCTACGCTACGGAATCCCAAAAGATCAGGTGAGAATTGACATCAATCAAAGTGATGCCATATTGTTGACACATTGAGAAAGATCAAACCTATGGTTTCCGACCGATCAACCCCCTCGTTCAAGCCTCACCTTGCAGAAGACTTGTTGTTCTCCCTACCCAACTTTCTCATTGTTGTTCCATAATCCATATTGAGAGGACAGAAAGCATGCGGCAAATAAAAAATCCGCCCACACACATTTGGCAATTGCGACGAACACAACCAGCTTTTGGTTAGCACATGATCCACCTCCAGCCCGCACCCCATTAACCACTACAAGAATCTACATACAATGCCACCATAAAGAGAATCAATATTTTAGACCCTTCTTTTAGTTGTTCGCTCAAAACATCTGTGCCAATAATATTAGTCCCTGAGCTCTCCCTTCATCTTCTACCTAAAAATTGTATGTAGTGTATATAACCGTCTGTAAATTATTTAGACAAAGGAAAAATTTAGAGGGTCTGTAGTATATGTAGGCAAACAAAAAAAACAACTCAATTCCAAGGGAAATCTCAATGCCAAATACGTACGATTTATTGAGACCCTAGCTACAGCTATACAAGAGACGTGACACTGGCCCAACTCAACTCTAGCCCTTGCGGGGAAAGAGAGGGGAGGGGCCGATGACGAGGAAATTTGGAGGGGTTGTTCTAGAATAATCTGTTTCCTCAGAGAAGGAGAAACCTCAGACTATTCATGTTTTGGCAGTTGGGCACAATACGTCTCAGTCTCAATCTCAACCTTAGATTTCAGATCAGACGATACATATAGCCTAAAGGCAGGCACACCATCATCACCAACTCGCATTTTTATAGGAGTAGAGATATCATTTCTTAATTCAAGTAGCATACAATGGAAGAGGTTAGCAGAAAACAAAGCATGGCATGCACTAGTGATTGCGCTGTAGGGGACGTCCACGCATGCGTATGTTCTGCTACCATGTGCGTGTATCGATCACTGTCTGCATGCATGAGGTGCTACATGCTTTGGTGCAACATGCTAGCTAGTGCCGTTGAGGATAGATTGATCGTCCATTTACCATTAGCTTGCTTGATCGATTGTCTGTTAATTCTTAATTGTCTCTTGCATCGTACGTGCACACGTAAAAAAATGACTGGCCCGAAATTAAAATCCAGTCACCTGACCAGTAGTCGGTCCCCTAATATATCATGTTCAATGGTTTGGTTGGGTTTAATTTTACATTGATTCACATAGGGTACAAATCACATGGAGTTCACTCCTCCCCTTCATCAATGAGTTCATTTAAATTGAAACACATATATTTCAGTCCTTTGATTTGGAGTAAGTGTGTTAAAATTTCAAGGGCTATATATATGTATCATGTATGATCTCTGTCGCAATCGCCGTATTCAGTTTTGCAATTGGTGCCACGCTGAAGTGAGAAGCCACTAAAGGGACAATGATGAGTGTAAGATATTAATTCAAATTTTACTGGATCATTGTCATGCATGAAAGTATTTTACCACTTGACGTGACCTAAACTCGATGTATTCTTTTACCAAAGTCATGCTATGGAAAATAAAAACGAGAAGCCGGGAGGGGGCGGGGCGGTAATGCTCATAATGAGCATCAAAAAAGGAAAAAAATATTCCAAAAATCTCAATTTTTTTGGCACTTAAGACGCGCGAGTGCACTATGTGCGCGCATTTTTTCGTGGTGGAAGGATATTGGAGGAGCTCGTGGAAAACTAACAAAATCCGGCCTCCAAAAGGTGCCATTTCCCAAAGTTTCTTTCAGCGCCGAATTTTGTTTTTGTGCCACTAGCTCCTTGAATGTCCTTTCGCCACAAAAATTTCCACGCACCTAGCGCACTCGAGCATCTTGCATGCCAAAACAATTCAGATTTTTTTGCTTATGTTTTCTATTTTCTTTTTTTTGCAAATGACATTTATATTGACTCAAAATGTAGCATCAAGCGGATACAAAGCATGATGAGTTTCCGAATTACCACTCACAGCTCTGAATTGCCACTCTTGGGGTGGGAGGAATTATTGACAGAGATAATGATACGAACTAAGTTTCCGTATGATAGGACTTTCCTATCAGGTTCCCATAATTTAAATGTCTACATAATATTGTACTTCACTAACACCTTAGTAATATAATAAATATGTAAATACAAATTACAATATTATGTATAAATATTCACGCAAATACATGGGTCACCCTGTTAGTTCCAGCAGTCGAGAATACTTTTGGACAAATTCATTTGGATGGAACCAAACATATGCAAGTTTTCCTTCATTGCAATATGTCGTGGCCCTCTGAACTGCTTGCATTTAGTAATTTCTTTCTTTTCACCTCTAGGAAAGTACTTCACCATTCTATCCAAGATAATTGGTCCATCAGAAGATCGTGCAAACAACACATCATGACTTAAACGGTGCAAATACCACCACTGAATTATGTCCGCCAAATCCAAATGAATTGGAGATGCCTGCATTTTAAAGGGTATATGTGAATTAGTGAGAGGAGTTTGTAGGGTATCCACTATTCCGTTTTCATTTTTCATTTGCATACAATACTCACCAACATTTACTTTGTGTTGTTGTTTCACATTAGGCACCGTGTCAAATTGATCAACTGTCGGTTCTGGATTCTGCGATTGATAGATCGTAAGAAAATTTCAGTTACGTGCATGTAAACCAAATGTTCTCATATAGCTGAGCTTCAGGCATCATTATATATATGGTCACTAGTAATACTTTTTTAGAGTTTCATATATACTTACAAACTGGTTTATAGTTGGGTGCACCCATCCGGTGGTGATCGCTTTGATGGTCGCAATGGCTTCGAAGGCACCTGCCGCGCCAAGGCTATGGCCAATCATGGACTGGAAACACAGGTTTTGCATGCATCAAGACCCTAGAAAAGCCATCTCACTAGAGTATCTCTCCAGTGAAGTTGCAAAGGTACGTAAAATGTGTGCTTAGAATGACACATATCTGCATGGAAGAGCAATTAACCTTCGTTGCATTCATCTTAATCTTGGATGGGTCCTTGAAGACTTGCTTCAAAGCTTTCACTTCTGCCAGGTCTCCAGCAAGGGTCGAGGTAGCGTGTGCGTTTATGTAATTGACCTGCAATGCGAATGAAAAAATAATTATACATGTGCCAAAACTCTCTGGCCAGTTCAGGAACAAAAACGCAATGACCAGATTAATCGCCCCGGTTTATTCTGCGACTGGTAGGAGGTAAAAACATTTGGTGGTCACCTCCTCCGGCGCCACACCTGCATTTTCGAGGCTTCTCATTATGCACGATGAAACACCAAGGCCATCTGGTCTAGGATCAGTCATGTGGTGAGCGTCACTATTTACAGCGCCTCCCAAGTACTCCACGAGAATCGGAGCGCCGCGTCTCATTGCATGCTCGAGGCTTTCCATGACCTGCAAAATGATATAACGGTTTAATGATGTACAATGCCGGATAAAACCGATAGTCTATGGGCTAGTCTCCTGGTGATGTTTTTCACTTCTGCTCCCGTTTTTATGCTTAAAAAAGTGGTAAGTTTGAGAGAAGCATGTATTGTTGCCCTACGAAGGTGAGCAAACCCAACAACAATATTCCAAAATATTCTTGCAACTAGAATACTCTCTCCAGTTCACGAAAATAATAATGTTGTAGACATGTTTTGAGTAAATTTTAGAAAATCTGACCATAAGTCTCTTTTTTTTGTCAACTAGACAAAACTGTTGCTGTTTATTGGGAAATGTTTATATTAAACTCAAAATTATTGTGCCAATTCTTATTTGAACCCTGAACTATGTGAGACCATGTTTGTTATTAAACCCTCAACTATTTAAACTGTTGAACTTTGAGCTTAGCCTGGTTTAGGTATTTGCTTTTTCTATGTCGGTGTACCAAAAGTGGTGTCAAATTTCGGCAGTGCAGACCCAACCAGTGTAACGAGTAGATTTGACTAATTATGTATAGAGTTTTTCATGTGAAAAATAGCAAGGACTTACCGGTAATAAAGAGCAACTGAAACTATTATATTTCATGTAAGCTAGCTAGATGAGAATATGTTACCACTTCCACTATTATCTTTCATTAAACACAATTGTAATTGTTGCATCTTAGTGCGCATACAACGATGATTGGATTACATCAAATTATCCTGAAATTATGCCAACTATAGATGTTTTTTTGCGGGGGTGCCAACTATAGATGTTGAGGATATGCAATGCCTATGTGAGAACTTTATAAAGATTCATGAGATCTGATGAGCTAGTAACTTACTATTTCCCACGATATGCATGCAAGTAATTCTTCAGGGCAAAGTTAGAAGCTTCTAGAAACATTCAACAAACTAAAAGAGATTGATATTTGCCATAAAGTTATTAGAATACATATTCTAGATATGTGCAATTGTAAATGGTAGAATATTCAAAGATAAATATTTATCGAGAACGTTCTAGTTAGAAAATATATTATAAATGAGGATATGATCTTGACATGTGTCTAGAATACAATGGCTATGAAGCATGATCCTAGGTATAGCTATGAGAGAATGGCGTAAGAAGGAATAATAGCTACTAAGAAGCATGTGTTGTCTGCCAAATTTTGAAAGGTTAATAAAGAATTAGTTATTGTCATAAGAATGTGGTTTCCTTGATAGTCTTGATCCTCACCAAGTGTATAGTATGACTGCCGCTATGCATGCTATATAGTGTACACGCTCACGTGATTGTGTGTGTGTGTGTGTGTGTGTGTGTGTGTGTGTGTCTGCGCGCGCGCGTGTGTGTGTGTGAGAGAGAGAGAGAGAATTTGAACCATTTACATGAATAGGAAAACATGAAAACATCAAAGGATTTAACAAAAATATGCATGTGCCTAATAGATAATAAAAAAAATAATTATATTGCGAGAGTAGTCATTTGAACGGGGCACTAACATAAAAAAACAAGAAACTTATTGTGACCATATGTCGATGAGTATAAAAACATAAGAGTAACTCTTAAGTGTCAAAATTGAGAACTTAGAAGTCAATCCCACATGAATGGCAGCAACATTCCACTTGTTGGTTGATTTGATATTAAAAAAACATGGGCTAGTTTTTCTAGTTTCTGCTTCGAGATATTTTAGTACCCCCTCCGATCCATATTAGTCGTCGCTCAAATGGATTTATATAGCACCAAAATACATCTAGATACATCCGTCTTAGCGATAATTAATATGGATCAGAGGGAATACTTCTCATGTTTGCGAGAATAAATGTTAATTATTAGTTTTAATTTTATAACGGGAACACCAATAACATAGAGAACATTTATACTACTGAGTTCCTCAACATATAGTAGACAAAGAGATATTTTACTTTGTTTGCAATGTACATAAATTCATATGAGCGCTCAATCAAGGCTGTGACATACAAAGCTTAGATGCAAAGCCTGGTTGTTTTCGACATCTAAATATATTTTACCACCAATACAACCGGTTACTCACTCACACCATTCACTCTTTCATGGATGCACCGGAGAGATGGTAGAAGAGCAAAGAACATGGCGATTTTTTGTGCCAGCCAAGTGTTGAAATATAGATGGGCTTTAGGCCATAAAACAATTTCAGAGAAATCTCTAAAGGCCCATGTGGATGTCATGACTAGGTTGGGGGAAGTTTAATACCACCTTGGAAGAAGAGGAAGTTTTGGACCTCTTTAAAAAGGATTCTCTTCCAAATGCTATCAGAGAACTACAAGAAGAGTGGTTCTCACGCACTCCTCCTGTGCCGACGTCGTGTTTTGTGAATGACCCGAGCCGAGCTCAGACGTATGTCACCCAGATCTAATAAGATCACATTTGCCTCCTCGCGCACAACTCACAGCTGGCCTCCAGAACCCCGTCCTTTGCGAGCCACCCAGAACAACATGTAAGTCCGATTTGGACCGGAACATGAAGCCGTCCATATTAAACCTTGACTATTTAAAGATGTTGAACTTGAACCTAGGCCAGGTATCGTTAGTGTTTTTTACTTCCGTGTTGACAAAAATTGTCACACCATTCATAGATGTAGCAAATGCTAGGAATCTATAATGTGCAAATGTTCATAAAATTGTTGATTGTTCATATCACCAAAATAAAGAGAGATGAGTAGATTGATTGTCTTTTTTTGTCTAAGGAACATAAATGGTCACATTTTTTGTTGATTTTTTAACTTATAATATACAAAGTTGTCCTACAAAACAGTCACATGGAGGGTTGGTGTTGATTTCACATTATGGTGTTCTGAAAATGTTATACGAGTGTGGCTATTAAGCATGAATCATCAACCCGTTTATACTCACATGATTGTTTATGTTCGATATAAAGAAGCGCAAAAGAGAACTGAATATCTCTTCTCATTTGTGCATATGACAGTAGTAGTCATATGCTTTGGAGTTTTCATAGATCATTGCAGCACAAAACCACTGCTAAAAACTAGTCTATGTTTGATATTAAACTATTGAGAAATTCAAGATTTAATTTTCACAAGGTTACATAATTTAGTGTTGAAACCAGACTAAACACAATATATAGTTGGTAGTTCAAACTGGACTTTTCTCTTGTCTGATTGAAGTGCTTGTATAGATTGATAAAATGTAGAAATCCAATTCGGCTCTTGGGAGCATATGCTCCTGCCCACCAAAAATGTTTTCTTTTTACAAATGTCAATAGAAAATAAAAAAAATAGATGTGTTCATTGTCACATCCAAATGGTACCTGCAAATTTTTAGTCAAAAAGTTTAAGCATTTGAGCTGTGAAAAAAAAATCAAACACCAAATGTTACTTTTAATTATTATTTTCACTGACGAATCACTGCTATTTCGTTCGCATGAAAATTATCAAGCACGCTTGTTAATTTATTATGTTAGGCTAACGTGAACATCCACATAAAAAAACAAAATTGGTGAAACTTGTTTACTACCTCCTATGTAAACTAATATAAGACGTTTTATATTAGTGATATAAAATCTTATATTATATTAGTTTACAAAGCAAGTTTTTGTTTGAATTTACTGTTTATCTGAGAACATATGCTCCCAGAGCCAAAACGGCCCTTCTGATAAAACGCATGTTCAAACTTTGCAAGTCTAACATGTCTTCTTGCGGAGTTGGGCGTGAGTGAAGTGAACGTTCCTCCTACTCTGCCAAAAATATGCGCATACTGATTACAGTAAGTAAGCTGCTTATTCGTACCTAAGGATTTTACAAGATGTTTACGTACTAATTCGAATGGACAACGGTTAGCTAGAATCAAGGGAACAGTTGCCAACTTGAAGACACCAGTAGTAGTACAGATTTTGTAGGACTCTTACGTAAGGATGGCGCTTTTGGTAAGTAAATATCAAACCAATAATGCTAAATATACAAAGAGTTACACGCAATTACATGTTGACTAGGATTTTTTTCCATCTACTGACCAATCATAAATTTGCCCTCCTGATATTTAGAAAGGATGGGCCGCCTCGTCACCTATTGACCAATCAAATTAAGGCCCTGTTCGGTAATCACTCACTCCCAGAATTTGCGGAGCAGGGAAGCCGCAACTCTGCAAATTTGAACTGCAGCTCCGCCAACTCCCGGAGCGGAGTTGGGGAGCGAAGCATTACCGAATAGCCCCATAACCCTCTTTGCAAAAGCTTGTAACTCGTTTATACGTGTAGCATATCAAACATACCAGTAGTCCGGCTCCTTCACCAAGGACAAAGCCGTCGCGGTCCTTGTCCCACGGCCTCGACGCCGTGCCGGGGTCGACGTTCCTCTGCGACAGCGCCCTGCACGCGAAGAACGCGCCGAGGGCGATCGGGATGATGCCAGCTTCGGTGCCACCGGCGATCATGACGTCGGCTCGGCCCAGTCGGATCTGGTCGGCGGCGCTGTTGAAGCAGTGGTTGGAGGTGGCACACGCGGTGGAGATCGAGTAGTTCGGGCCTCGGAAGCCGTCGGCAGTGCCCATGGCGACCAAGGCGGAGCTGATGTTGGTTATGGCGTGCGGGATGCACAGGGGAGATATCTTCCCGCACCCCTTGGTCACGAGGCTGGCGATGCCGTCGGAGAGCGCCGTGATGCCGCCCATGCCGGAGCCGACGACCACGCCGGCCCGTTCCTTGTCGACCTTCTCCATGGCGCTGGTGCCGGGGGCGAGGCTTGCGCACTCGAGGGCCTTCCTGGTGGCGACGAGGGCGTAGCGGTGGATGTCGTCAAGGCGGCGGTCGAGCTTGCCGTCGACGTAGCCCTCGGAGGAGAAGCCGCGGATCTGGGCGGCGAAGCGCGTGGGGAACCCGGAGGCGTCGAAACGGTCGATGGCGCCGACGCCACTCTCCCCGGCGAGGAGCCGCTCGTAGTACACGTCCACGTCGTTCCCGAACACCGACACCAGGCCCATCCCCGTGATCACCACCCGCTTCCTCGGGTCGGTCTCCCGCCGAGGCGCCGACGATGACACTGCCGAGGCGCGAACGGAGAGGCGGGATGGCCGCCCCGGCGGCGCGCAGAAGGGCGCGGCGGCCGCGTTCGGGAGAAGCAGGTTTTGCATGGCCCGCGGGAGGGAGGTTTTGGGTATACGTCGGCGGCAACATCACCCTAAGAAGTACGTGTCCGCCTTCGTTGCTGACGGGCCTCGACACGCCAGGTTCCGAGAATTCCGGGTACAATATGAATGTCGTGACAAAGTGCCTTGTTATATCGCGTCGGTCGCCCGATCTGGGCAGCCGACCGGCAACCTCCGCAGCCGTCGGCTGTACTTATGCGTAGCCGTCCGATAAGAGCCGTCCGTGTCCAATATCTCATATTCCTCTCCTGCAGCTTTCTCTGCGCGCAGCTGCATCTCTGCCCCTCGCCTTGCACTCACGGCGACGAGCTCGTTGCACATCGCTAGCGGCATCCCCAATGTCCCGCTCCCAGCACACACCACCGGTGAGACCACGACAGTCCGTGTCGCAGCTCGCCGCGTGTTCCATCGCAATGCCGGTGAGGACGCTCGCAGCATTGGGTGTCGCCATTCGCAACATCGACCTTGGATCACCGCAGCCACTGGACCTAGCAACACTGTTGTGTCCGTCGATGCTCCAGCCCCGCTTGTTCGTGGCACCACCACGCATCGTTTCTAGTCACAGCGCCAACCCGAGCCAGTTGCAGCATAGTCGACGCGCCCCTACTCCCATTACAGCAGCGCCGTAGACCCATCATAGCTCCCGGGTACACCGATCACAGCACCGGCCAATGTCGGCACTCGCGAAGCCTCTTGGAGGCCAAAGGGGGTCATGAACCCCCTTCCAAAAGTGAAAAACAAAATTTATTACTAAGCATTATGGTCCAAAACATCTTTACCTACTAATAAACCACGCATCGCTTCTGGTGGTACGTCATAAAAACAACCCTCGAAGTTGGCAATAATTACCCACCAATGCCACCCGTAAGTGGTAAAAACGATTCGTTTTTAATTTCTAATATCGCTCCAGGGTTCTGTTATTAAACTTGGATACGATATAATAGCACCAATGCATGAGCAATGCGATGGCTGAGGCAATGATGCTCCACACAGGAGACCAGGGTTCGATCCCTGGTTCTCACGCTTTTTCTCTTTCTTTTTACCAAGCGCAGTAATGGGCCAGCCCATGTGCGGGTCGTGGCGCCCCCTGTTTTCTATATCTTTTTTTTATTTCTATTTTGTTTTTTCCCTAAAAATAAATTTCGGATTGATGGCGCCCCCTATTTTTTATTTCTTTTTACTTTTTTATTTCTGTTTTGGTTTTTTATCTCAAAATTAATTTCGGATTTCCAAAATATCAAACAATTGCGAGTTCTGAAAAAAAGTAGGAAAATGGTAAACTGTTTGTGAATTTAAAAAATATTCTAAAAATCAAAAAATGTTCATGACTTAAAAAATTGCTCACAAATTATAAACAAATCACGATTTCTAATGATTTCATGAAATAAAAGATGTTCATGATTTTTTTAAATAAGCCAATATTCAAAGCATATTCAGGAATTTAAAAATCATGTCCATCAGCTTTTAGAAAATGTTCACAAAAATTAAAACACATCCATAAATAATGAACAAAACTAATTGTAGGTTCCATAAAGGTTTTATTAGGAGATCCATATAGCTCGTTTTATGATTTTATTTAGTCCTTCGTGTTGGGTAAAAAAGGGTTTCCGTGTTTTGTACAACGCTGAACCCAACAAAATTGACATAACTTTCTAAGGGTTTGTTTTTGTAAGCTATATTAAAATGACTAAATGTCTATTTTGCTTCCATACACAGTTATGCTTATTTTCATATCACAATAGTGGTTATGGTAAACACCGCTACGCTAAGTCCAGACGAGACACTTTATTTATCAGTATAGCTCAGGCAGGGTCCGTCAATGCAGTTTGCTCAGCCACAAAATATTTTGTTGTGACGCCTTAAAAAATCAAGTCTTGATGAGCATCATATTGTTCGTTTTTGAAATTACATTTTAAAAGTGTCTTATCGCATCATGACATGATTTGTATATACTTTGTGAATTTGATTCATACTTTTTTATATCTACCACACATGTATAACTTGATAGTTTTTTTTCCGTTGCAAGGCACGGGCATTTCCAAAAATGTTCGCTAAATCAAAAAAAGTTCGTCAAATTCAATAACTATTCCACCCAATTTCTAAATATTTTCATCGATTATAGAATGTTTGCCAGTTCAGGAAAATTGCTTAAAAATGTTCACAATTTTTAAAAAATGTTTGTAAATAGCAAAAAATATTCATAAATTGAAAAAATGTTCTTGATTGTAGAAAATGTTCAGAAATTTGTAATAGTATGTTGTTTGCGATTTCAAATATGTGCATGAGTTTAACAAATTGTTCATAATTTCAAAATGTTAATGATTTTGAGAAATTGAGAGAGATATTGTATCTCGGTGATGCAACGAAATGTGATCATGACCATTTGAAATTATGAATTTTTTTCTCCCGTTGCAACGCACGGGCCCTTTTGCTAGTGAATATACAACTTTCCTCGCCATCCTAATGCTGCGATACACCTCTCAGCCTTTGACGCTCGTCTCTCCTACCAAGTAGAAAGAAATTATGTCTCCAGCCTCTCGCTCCATAGAAATTTGATTTCTACACCATGTCCCAATTCTTCAATCATGTTTCTCCACTGTAGACTTCTCCCCTTTCCCGACTGCTCCATCGAGGCTCCGATTTCCAACAAACCATCACGCCGGTTGCTTGCTGCTGCTCCTGCATATGCACGCAACAGTTGCTCCCTCCCCATGTTGCTGCTGTGCTGCGCGCCACGGCCGAAACCTAAAGTAACGACAACCGATGAGCTGAAAGTGAACTCCTACATGTCAATTTTGATTGCCACGTAAAGATGACTCACATGTTCTAATTGATGGCCCATGGGGGTTAACATGTTGTATAAACTAAAGGAACATGATTCGGATCATCAGATGAACCAACATATTCCGGTTATATCAATTAAGAAAACTTGATTCTGGTAAGTAGAAATGATTATTCAATTATTGTTTCTGGTAACAATTTTTTAAATTCTTTTACGTTGGGTACACGCCTATTTTTGACTTTTCATGCACATTTTTTTTCTAGTTTGGAAATTTTGGCCCCCCTTAGTTGCTCGTCGTCACGCTCCGCCACTAAATGTCGGTTGCAGCATCCTCATCTTTGTCGTGTGGCCCATTATAACATTGGTCTCAGCTCTTGGTGTTATTGTTCGAGCTTCCCATGCGCTGGTCATAGCACAGGCCTGGTCGCTGGCGGTGCTTGGGCATGGTCCTGGTACATGCATGTGCATTGTCCGCTAAGGGCGTGTTTGGTTGTTAGTATTCAGCTCATATAGGTCCTGCAGATGCAAAATGCGTGTGCTTGGGTTTCCTAGGTTGCACCAAAATCTTGGCCCACACGGTTCTCAATGCAGACCCCATTCTGGCTAAGGAGGAATATCCGAATCAGTCATTTCCTTAGAGCCATGCTCCAGTAGGCGCAATGTGGCACATGTCTGCACGCGTTGGGAAGTGTAGGAGATGAGACACTTCGTCCTAAACCCACATCTCCATTCTCATCACCACTGCAAACCCTCATTCTCTCACCCTCTTCGTCCCATCGATGGTCGCCATTGCTCCACTACCACCCCCTCCCCCCAAATTCATGTCCACCTACAAGAGTACTCACCTTTGATAGCTTGCCGACATTGAGTTGAGGCAAGGGAGCCTTGGACCTGGGAAGTTGGGGAAGTTGGAAGATGATGAAGGCAACACCTGCCTTCTGCACCCGGACGAGCTGAGTATGTATTGAGTCATCATCGATGGTGGGCACTTCTACTGCGAGGGTGTGACTAAGACTGTGGCGGCAGGCACTTCTGTTGCGGGAATTTCGATGCTCGTCGCGACGCCCGCATCGAAAGCGGCGGGCCTTCCTGTTCGGCTTCAGCGGCTACAATTCTTCCAATTGTCAAATAGTGTATGTTTTTTAGTGACCACATATTGAAAGGCCTCTACTGTGCCAATTTTAATTTTATGAATGAAGGGCAAAATGTATAGTATGAAGTTACATGTAAGGAATGGTTGATGGAACGGAGAGTAGCAAGAGAAAGATGTGACCGACCGTTTGTTGTGGTGCTATTACAAACCATACTCATTGTATACACAAGGGATTTTTAAATGATAAGGATAGAGAAAGAGAAACGACGCACATGGTGGCCAAAACGGATGGGGCAAAATAATTAGCTTTCATGTTTATAGCTATGTGGTGAAAACTAAATATATGTTGTCCTCGATGCATTTTCAAATAGAACAATTGATGCACATATAATTTGCTTGTTCCATTGCAATGCACCACATCAAACTTCATACATCGATATAAGCTCCAAAGGTGGATGCATTTTTGCAACAAACTTCATCATTTGAAAGCAGCCGAGATCACGTTCTGTAGAACGACATGCAGTTCAAGAAGTTAAAAATGGAACCTTAAGTGCATGAAATCTTGCACATATATGCAGTCCACGTGATCCAAAACAAAAGTCTGGATGAATGTACTTGATACAACAAGACACCGCCCTCGGAACTCACGGCTTTTGTAATTTCTCAGAAGTTGTCTCCATGTTGCTTCACCTTTCTTGCCAACATAATGTCCAACATATTGGTCAAACAACACTTATTGTTGAACGAACAGTTTCCCCCCGATAAATGTCACTTTTATTAACTCAAAACGTCTCATCAGGCGGTACAAGCATAAAAAGCATATACTCGTCCTCTACATAACTGGCATAAAGTCATACAAGATCATAACCATGCCTAAGACGAAATGGGTGGTGAAAAGTCTACTCGAAAGACCATACCACCATTGTGGGCTAAAACATATTCGTGGCCGCCTGCCCTAATCGCATACACCGCAATAAATAGAACACACATTAGGACTTAAATGGCGCAAATACCACCACTGAATTTTGTCCTCCGAATCCAAATGAATTGGAGATACCTGCATTTTATGTAAAGGGTAGAAAGAAATGAGTAAGGAGTGTATAGGGTGTGCCCCGTTTCATTTGTATTTTGCATTTGAATACATATTACTCACCAACGTGTACTTCATGCTGTTGCTTTACACTACGCACCGTGTTAAATTGATCAACTTCCGGCTCTGGGTTCTGTAATTTACAAAGATCCCAATTGCTAGTAACATGTAATCATACATTGCACTTGTAATGCAATTTGAACATACGTACAAAATGACATACTATTTTGAACATAAATAAGTACTTACAAATTGGTTTATAGTAGGATGCACCCATCCGGTGGTTATTGCTTTGATGGTAGCGATGGCCTCCAAACCGCCCGCTGCACCTAGGGAATGCCCTATCATTGACTTGAAAAAAAAGGAGGTTTCACTCATCAGAAAGAAACATACATCCAAATGAATTCCAAATGAATTACACAAATGTCTTTGAAGCTTCCAAGATTAAAAAAAATGGACCTTGGTTGCGTTCAGTTTAATCCGAGATGGGTCCTTGAAAACTTGCTTCAAAGCATTCACCTCTGCAAGATCTCCAGCGGGGGTTGAGGTTGCATGAGCATTTATGTAATTGACCTGCGGTGAAACATTTAATTTACAATTCATGACCCAACTTGGAAGTAATTACCAAATGGTGATCGAGATTAATACACAATTTCAAATGGTAGAAACTAAAACATATGATCGTCACCTCCTCTGGTGCGACGCCTGCGTTTTCAAGGCTCTGCCTGATGCACACCGACACGCCGCAGCCATCTGGTCTCGGATTAGTCATGTGGTAAGCGTTGCTGTTTACGGCGCCTCCCAAGTACTCCGCCAGAATCGGAGCGTCGCGTCTCATTGCATGCTCGAGGCTTTCCATGACCTGCATTTTTATTTCAAAATGATCATTAGCGAATAGTAAGAAGAAAAAGTAATGATGTTTGTATAACACTTATGCCCCAAAGATGCAAAATAGAATCCGGGATTCCAAATAATAAATAGAAAATATTTCATTGATCTAAGAAGAATAATCTATTGCTAAAGAAAATCTGAAAAATAGATGTATATATAGGTGTGACCATTGTAGATCATTCTATTTGAACTGCAACAAAAAAGATAAATAACTGGATCTAAAATAGTTCTACAACATTCTGCTATTATATATCCATAACTTTACCTTTTATGCCGCTTATAATTTTGCCTAGGACACACCTACATCTGCTTTAGCAAAATCGATTCAGATTTCAACTTTGACCAAATATTGACCGAACAAAAGATAAGTTCCATCTTATAAGATTATACAATTGGATTTTACATTAAAATAAATATTTAATAGTATAAGATTTACAATAAATAATTTATATTATACAGTGTTATTAAATTAATAGTCACAAGAGGTTTCTTCAACTTCAGAAAAAGGGGGGAGAGGGGAGTATCGAATATACCAGTATTCCGGCTCCTTCGCCCATGACAAAGCCATCGCGGTCCTTGTCCCACGGCCTCGACGCCGTGCCGGGGTCGTCGTTCCTCTGCGACAGCGCTCTGCACGCCACGAACCCGCCGAGCCCTATTGTAATGATGGCGGCTTCGGTGCCACCGGCGACCATGACGTCGGCTCGGCCCAACCGGATCTGGTCGGCGGCGCTGTGGAAGCAGTGGTTGGAGGTGGCACATGCCGTGGAGATCGAGTAGTTAGGGCCCCGGAAGCCGACGGCCGCGTCCATGGCGATCATGGCGGAGCTCGTGTTGGTGATGGCGTGCGGGATGCAGAAGGGAGATATCTTCCTGTACCCCTTGGTCACGAGGTTCTCGACGCCGTCGGAGAAGGCCGTGATGCCGCCCATGCCGGACCCGACGATCACGCCGGCACGTTCTTTGTCGACCTTCTCCATGGCGCTGGACCCGGCGGCGAGGCAGGCGGACTCGAGGGCCTTCTTGGAGGCGACGAGGGCGTAGCGGTGGCAGTCGTCGAGGCGGCGGTCGAGCTTGGCGTCGACGTAGCCCTCGGAGGAGAAGCCGCGGATCTGGGCGGCGAAGCGGGTGGGGAACCCGGAGGCGTCGAAGCTGTCGATGGCGCCGACGCCGCTCTCCCCGGCGAGGAGCCGGGCATAGTACGCGTCCACGTCGTTCCCGAACACGGACACCACGGCCATCCCCGTGATCACCACCCGCTTCCTCGGGTCGGTCTCCCGCCGAGGCGCCGACGGTGACGACGCCGAGGCGCGCACGGAGAGGCGGGATGGCCGCCGCCGCGGCTGCGCGCACCAGGGCGCGGCGGCGGCGGCATTGGGGAGAAGCAGGTTTTGCATGGCGTGCGGCTACGGCAGGTTTTGGGACTTGGTGCACGGGGCCCGTCGAAGATTGCTGCTCGCCTTATTTGGGGCAACGAAACGCTAGAGAACGTGTCCGCCTATGTTTGCAGATGGCCCAACGCAACAGTGATGGGCCTCGACACGCCAGGTTCCGGGAGTTCCGGATACAACAAGAATTTCGTGACAAAGTGCCGTGTTATTTTGGGTCAGGCCAACGCTGAGCTCAAAAATCAGGGTTATATCTAGTATAAATCAAAAAAAGAACATTTTTTTCCTAAACACAGTATAATCAAAGTCGCTGACATACACGAGCATACACTCATTCCTATGAACGCATGCGCACGCACACCCTATCGCTATGAGCACCTCCGAAAGACTGAGCTGACATAGCATCTTAAGATTTTACAAAGTCACCACACGCCTCGTGATCGATAGGAACGTCTTCTCCCGCTGAATAAACATCGTCGGAAGTCTGAAATATATCCAAGAATAATGTGAGCATCAATGTCGAGTCTAGGACTTCAACTCTGATGGTACGGGGATACCACTGTCCTCCTAACCATCCAACCATGAATTGGTTCGTAAAAAAATTGCTACTCCTGCTACAGCCACAAGGCGACGATGGCCCCTCATGAGCCATGTTTTGCCAAGATAAAAGTTGACGGGGCTGTTGCTCGGAGCTCTTTGGAAGGTTCATATTCCACCGTTTGCAGGGATGATGCAGGCACGTACTTAGCATCCTCCACATTCAAATGCTCGCGGGTAGATCTGGTGACCTTGGATGCTTTGGCGTGCCGTGAAGCCCTTTCTATTGCCTTTGATCTTTCTCTATCACATGTGATCATAGCATTGGGCTGCAAGGGTGTGGTAAATGACATCAAGAAAGGCACAGGTGGACAGTATGCAAGCATTATCAAAGAGATTATAGCGACATCAAGGCAATTTGCAAGATGCTTCTTCATCTTTGAAGGACGTGATACCAATATTGAGGCACGGAGCCTCGCTAAACACGCTCTAGGACTTTCGTTGGGACGTGTGGCTACTTAATACTCCAGACCTAAATTGTATTCCTAGGAGCCTTGTTATCAATCAGTAATAAAGAGTATGGTTAGACTAAAAGAAAGTTCGGTCGAGCAACCAACAACTTATTGGAAACACTAAAATCTGACATCTGATTTTTAGACTGTTGGAACGAACATCTCCTAGGCCATTGGATCCTGACATGAATCTTAGAGCAGGTGAGATCACCTAGTCAGCGAATTTTGCCGTTTGAAGAAACACGGTCCGCAACAAACGCCTTGATCTTCCCATGACCACTTGTCTCTTATGTCTTATCCACTTCTCTCCTCGCTGTGGGTACGGAGGGAAGAGCAGCCATGCGCCGACGACGGCAGAGAGGAGCTCTGTCGGACCCAACATTAGGGTGTCGCGGCGGGAGAGGAGGTGGGTTGCAGCGTCCTCGCGTGTCGTCATGGCTTGGGACTCCCGTGTTGTGCTCCAGCGGAAGCCCAAGGCCCATGAATCCCGACGGAAGCTCAAGAGCGAGAGTGGGGGAGGTGATGTCGCATGGCGCTGCGCATGTATATGGCAGGGCTTTTCTAGGTGCGGTGGAGGTCGAGCTGCGGCTGGAGATGTTTTGCGTCGTGGTGGCGCTGCTCCTACCGGCGCTGTTCTTGCAATTCCCTGTGGCCGGCACGGAGCTCCGCCTCGTCGGGCAGGGCTGTCACGCCCCGCGCGCCCTTCCATCGCCGCAGGGACCATTCCGATTCCGACGACAGCATGGACACAAACGAAGGTGCGGCCGACCACGGAGGCCACGTGTACGAGGTCACCGTCCACTACCTAGTGTAGATTTGTTTCTCGGTTTTAGTTGAACAGACGAAATATCGTCATCTTATGTAAATTAGGCTCGAACTTAAGTGATTTCGGTCGTATCTGCATGAAGTTCCTCCATTTTTTAAATCCGCTTTTAAATATTTGCGGGCATTATTGAATGGCTGGTTCCTGCATCAATGTCGGCGGACTAGTCCGCTCAGTCTGAGAACAAATACTCCTCGGAGTACTGTTTTTGTTTTGGAAGACAATGTTGGAGATACCCTTAAGAGTATAGAGTAGTGTATGCCTCCTTTGGTTTGAAGGAATTTCATAGGAATACTAGAGGATAGAATTCTTATAGGATTTTTTCCTTTAAAACCCTTTGGTTCATAGGAATAGATTCCTATTCCTACATAGGATTGGTTCCTATCCTCCATATTTCATAGGAAAATAAAAATGAGCCTAGACTCGATGAAAAAATTCCTTTGGTGTCAATCAAATGACATCTCGTTTCCTATTCCTACTCATAGGATTTGAGATACATGTCATCTCATTTTCTACAAAATTCCTACTCCTACGATAATCCTATCCTATGAACCAAGCATGGAGAATACTGCAGTTTCCACAATCTCTGTGTGCGCGTGTGCTCAAGGCAAGATATTTCCCTGAGAACTCAATTATATCTGCAACATGTCCCTCAGGGGGCTCATTCACCTTTCGAAGTATAATCCATGGTCAAGACTTGTTGTGTGAGGGTCTCATTTGGAGAGTAGGGGACGGCTCCAAGATTAATATTCACCACGCCAACTGGATACCTAGGAGCGGCAGCATGCAGCCTTTGGGTGCGATGTACATACAGGGAGTGACGAGGGTGGCGGACCTATTATCACCAAATGGTACTGCGTGGAACCAGAACCGTCTGGACGAGATGTTCTCTCCCGAAGATGCAGCAGATATCAAACAAATTGCGATTGGAGGCCCAGGCATGGAGGACTTTTTAGCATGGAATTATACTAAAAATGGTGTGTTCACTGTGCGCTCGGCGTACCACCTCAGGATGGCTGTGAACAGACTGCGATCCGGACGGCCGGAGTCGTCCAGTTCGGTCAATACGCACAAGGGATTTTTGGGGCTGTGGGATACAAGTGCGCCAACCAAGGCCAAGATACACATGTGGAGAGTCATCCGCAATGGCTTGGCTGTAGGGTCAGAGCTCCATCGAAGGCGAATCAAACCTGGTGTATTCTGCGTCGTTTGTGGACGTGAGGAGACGATCATGCACCGTTTTTGGTCGTGTCAACATTTAGTCCAGTTTTGGGACCAGCTGCGCTCGGAAAAGGGAGTCATGGTGGCTGCTCCACCGATCTTCACCGGCTCCCAGAGCGAGCTAGCCAACTGGCTGCTTGGTTGGTTTGCTGCTGCTAATGACGACGAGAAGGAGATAATGATCCACGCATTATATGGCCTTTGGTTGGCCCGCAACGACACAAAGAATGGAAAACGTATTGATGCTCCACATGAAATTGTAGAACGAGTCTGTTTGTTTGTGAAGGAATGGAGGGAAGTCCATGTGAAGCCAGACAGTCAGATCAAACCTGCTATTATTCAGAGATGGCATGCACCGGATGCCGGGTGGGTCAAAGCAAACGCTGATGGTGCAACATCACGGCATGGTGGAAAGGGAGGAGGCGGTGTTGTGCTCCGGGATAACAACGGAGGCTTCCTCGCTAGTGCATGTCACTTTTTCCCCACGGCTGCTGACCCGGTAGTAGCAGAGATTTTGGCATGCAAACGTGCTCTGTTGGTTGCGATAAAAATTAATGTTCAGAGGGTACACATCGAGCTGGACAGCCAGGCTCTCGTACAAACTGTCAACAACCCAGAGAAGAACATGTATGCTTCAGGGCCTTGGCTAGAGGAGATCAAGACCATGCTACGTAGTTTTGTTGATTTTAGAGTTTCGTGGGTTAGACGTTCCGCAAATGTTGCCGCGCATAAATTAGCTAAGTTAGGGATAGGAGAAGAACTATGTAAGGTTTGGTTTGGATCGCCGCCAGAATGCATTCTGGATGTAATTGCGGACGAGATTCCGAACTTCGTTTAAGAAAATAAACGGCGACATTTACCCTAAAAAAAAAAGAACCAAAAGGTGGCATTTAAAGGAAACAAAACAGAAGATTAAAGTTGTAGTACTACTGAGAACTACGACAGCTATATGTACACTCTGAACATTTCAGACTAGGACCAGCTTAGAACCATAAAAACAGTGGACATGTGTAGCCCCAAATCGTCAAACGACACATTCTCGTCACCTATTTGCTGCATGGAGCCACCGGCGGCCAAGCGCATGAGCCGGAACGGCCGCTCTTCCTCTGACCTGCAAAACGCGAAAAGCGCGGCGACTCCGCGCTGAGCACCGAACTGCTTCGTGAGCGCCCGACCGTCGGGCAATCGAACCCTCAGCTTGCACAGTTTCTCCCCGGGCCCGGGTGCCATCTCACAGGTCGGCGGTGCCACCGCGGCCGCGGCGGTCTCGACTCTCTTCGTCGCCGTCGTTGCAGATGGATCACTGCTGCTCGATGCCGCCGTGCCCACCGGCGGCGCTTCTTGCTTGCCGCGCGGAGGCGGAGCGGCTGATGACGCAGCACGATGCTTGGTTGCTTTGGCGGGCATGACCGGCCGCCTCTCCGCGAACTTGTCGGCCACGGCGATCATGTCGTTCGGGTCGGTGGCGGCGCGCATCCTGTGCATCAGCTGCCCGGTCACCGGGTCGACCACCAGCACGTGGGGCATCATGTCGTGGGCGAGCTTGTAGTAGCACGACACCTTGCCGCCCTCGTCGAGGCCGTCCTCCCGCTCGTCCACGTCCACCTGCCAGAGCACGAAGCGCTCCCGGACGGCCTGCGCCACCAGCTCGTTGGCCCACACGTCGCGGTTCTGCTGGTGGGACGCGAACTCGCCGCTCGCCTGCACGTTCACCAGCAGCCAGCGGGACAGGCCCGCCGCGTGCGCCTTGGCGTCGTGGAACCGCCCCTTGTACGTCAGCTCGACCGGCGCCCGGAACAGCTCCGCCAGGGTCTTCTTCTTCTTCTTGCCCGCCTGATCCGTGGTGCTGCCACCTGAGGTGCACTCTTCGCCGCGGCGGCGGCGGCGAGGGTGGCCCTCGGCTGCGGGTGCTGGTGCGTCGTCGTGTTCGCTCTCCCATCCGGTAGGTCTGACTCGTGGTTGACGACGAGCGGTCGAGGACGAGGGGCCGTAGATTGTCTCGGAGCGGGCAGGGATGGGAGCGCGCACAGCAGGCTCGTCCTTTGGCACCACCGGCGCCGACGATGCGGCACCGCCGGCGAAGTAGAGATTTACGGCCTCGTCGAGCCGCCAGCTGCAGGACGCGAGGTGCTGGGCGGCGTCCGAGAGGGAGATGCAGGCCGTGACCTGCATGAACTGGCAGACGAGGGCGTCATGGTCACCCTCCATCGATCGATCTCAATCTCAATCCCTGCGCGGCTGCGGTGGCTTAGGGATCTAACAAATCTCGCCGCCGCGATTTGATAGGTTTGGGAACTCAAGTTTCGTTGGCCTGAGGATTATCGGAGCCGCCCGGAAACTTCAATTATCTATATATAGGCCGCGTTCTCTTTTTTTTCTGAGTTGAGGCCGAGTTCTTTTCTGTAAGGAAACATCTATCTATCTATATACGGAACTCGATTTCCAGCCGTTCCGTTTCCGAGAGTGGTTCTTACACCGAGCTCGGCGTGTGCTTTCGTTACGCCCTCGCAAAAAACATAACAAAATGTTTCAAAAAAACCTGAAAAAAATATATATAGAAATGATTATGAACGAATGTTATAGATGCTTGCAAAGTTGATGGTCAGATGACATCTGGTGAGATATGCACTTTATTTTTACAATTTCTGCTCAAACAACACACATATATTTTGAGTAATCTTGTTCTTTTTTGTACAAAACTTCTCGAATGTTATCTGATCACCAAACTTTGCAAGCATCTATAACATTTGTCCATAATTATTCTCACAAAGTTTTAGATTTTTTTTAAATGTTTTGCTACTCGCGTGGGTGTATCGGGGTGAACCGAGCTGGGGTTCACCCATTACTCTCGCTTTCCTCAAAACTTTGTCCTCAAACTTTCTCGCTAATTACGAAAGAAATGCCATCATGCATATAAAAAGGTGTGATGGATATGCCTAAAATGAGGACTCTAGTACCTCGCTGGTGAGAAGGGTTGGGCGATAGAAACTGATCACCAGGGACGTCCCGGCGACCGTTTCGGTCGTTCGCCAGGGCGACTCTCGACTAACCCAAGAGGCCCCGTTAAATTTTCTAACCGCGACGTTATATTTTAAAACAAAAATAGGCTGAGTAATCTATATTTTTTTCTTGCCATGCTAAACTTTAAAACTGCCGTCCTCTAGATAAGAAAAATGTCATAAACTTATGCATCCACTTCATCGGATGATCCAACGCAAAAAGTATGATATTTCTATTCTCTAGCGCTTGTCATATAGAAAAGGTATCTAGCTCGTCCCTTTAGCGCTCGTAAAAGAAATCATTCTTGTCCGAGAAGGCAACAACCATTTCATTTCTTTAACCCGGATTGCATTATTTAATTGATTTACTACATCGTGTACTACGTATTGGTTCGCGGATGCATTGCTTGAAGGAAGGAAGCAGCTTTAGAGGAGGGATGCCACCATCCTCTAGATAAAACATGCCGTGAGCAAAAAAAGCACAAATTTATATAACACGATGCTCTGAAAGTTTGTAAATTGGCGTGCTACTTTATAAAACTGTCATCCTCTAGATAAAATGTTTTATCTGGATAAGCACCAAAAATAAACTGGAATGCCATAAAAAAATCATCCCTTCAACATTAAAAACAATGCATTTCTCATAAAACTGCCATGCCATTAAAAATAAACAATGCCATGCTCTTAACAAAAATGCCGTGAAAAAATAAATGCATTTCTTATTAAAAAAGTGTCATTTCAATGTAAGTTTTTTGGCCATGCCAGTAAAGAAATAAAAAATGGTATCCAACTGATAATAAAAATACCATGTCAACAATTGAAAAATGTCATGCTCTATATAATAAAACTACATCCTTTTAATAATTAAACTGCCATCCTCCTAATAATAAAAATAGCATGTCAACTATAATGAAAAATGACATGCTCTATATAAGAAAAATGCCATTCTGTTAAATAATCAAACTGCCATCCTCCTAATAATAAAAATGCCATGTCAACAGGTAAGGAAAATGACAGTCTCAAAATAATGAAGTACCACGTGACCTATAATAAAAGTGACATGATATCTACAATAATAAAAAATAATAAAAACACCATGGTACCTATAAAAATGCACATGGCAAGTTAAAATAAAATACTCTCTAAAATAGGAATTTTTGTTCTTTCAAAAATGTAAAAATTCAGATTTTCGGGATTTTTAAAATGAAGAATCAAAGTTAACT